GATAGATAGATAGATAGATAGATAGATAGATAGATAGATAGATAGATGAAAGGAAAGAGAAAATGTGGTGTATCCATAATGCAATTGTTTTCGGTCTTAAAAAACATCTTGTCTGCAGCAGATAATCACACTAAGTAAATTAAGTCATTTTCTCTTCCCTGTTCTTCCTAGATTTTACGTAGATACGTATATATACATGTATTTAAGACATGACAGGGGAACAGGAGTGGGGATAGAGCTGAAAAAAGGGAGGGTGGGGAAATATGAGATAAAATATATGTTAAACATGCGACAAATGCACACATGAACGAAAGCTTAAATGCACAGATTAGGGAGAGCGAGACATGGCTGTTGTGTGACAAAACTCTTCCTGGGGAGACAACATACAACTTCCCACCTCAGACAGGGTCCCAGGACAGATGAATGAACGGACACCACCAAAGTCAAACTTGTTTTCTAAGACAGGTTCTCCGTGTAGCTGTGGCTGTCCTGAACCGTTATTTTATTGGATGAGAGGTTACTTACAGGAATATGGGTAAAGGGTCACTTACAGGAGCAGAAACGACTCAAAGGCAGCTGCGTCACCATCGAGCATCACCCTAGCATGGGTGACAGCTCGCAAAAGCCGGGAACCTGGAGCACACTGCTCACCTGCAGGCAGCTCAGCAGGCTGGAGAGTGTCCCTTCCAGGTGCCTCAGTTGGTCTAAATCTGTTCCACGTGGCTGTTTGATCTCTGAGTCTTTGCAGCTCAGCTTTACTTGTATAGGAGGGACTCTCAGCTTTTTTGTTGACTCTGGCAGGGAGGGGCCTAGTGAGCCTGGTCAGTTTCAGGGACTTCCTGAAGCTGTTTTGAGTTGTTTACCTTCCTGCTTAAGGAACTGCAGGGTTTTTGGAAGAAACTGTTGCACAACAATGTTGTACTGCTCTAATTCCGGAGTTTAGGGAATGAAGGCTGGAAAATTCAGGCAACACAGTAAATTTTCAGGACCCACTGAACTGAGGAGTTCCAGGCTATAGAAGGACACTGTCTTTACTATTTATTTAGTTAGTTTTTTTTAAGATTTATTTATTATGTATACTGTGTGCTGCCTGCATGTATGTCTTCACACCAGAAGAGGGCACCAGATCTCATTACAGATGGCTGTGAGCCACTATGTGGTTGCTGGGAATTGAACTCAGGACCTCTGGAAGAGCAGTCAGTGCTTTTAACCACTAAGCTATTTCTCCAGCCCCTCTATTTAAAAAGAAAAAAAATTATTTAATTTTATGTGCATTGGTGTAAGGATGTCCAATCCCTTGGAACTAGAGTCACAGAGAGTTGTGAGCTGCCATGTGGGTGCTAGCAATTGAACCGCGGTCCTCCAAAAGAGCAGCCAGCTCTTAACTTTTGAGCCATCTCTCCAGTCCTTGCTCCTATTTCTAAAAATGGAAAGAAAGAAATAATTTGAGACCAGCCCAAACCGTTATGGGTTTGGGACGTTCAAAGATCCACCGACCACAAATAAATTTTAACAAAAAGGAGGCTTTTATTCAGTATCAGATACCACCACCAGGTATACACCGGGACTTGGGAGTCCAAAATGCAGCACCAAGCCACCTCAGTCAGGGGTTTATTTTTTTCATATTGTCTTTTTTTAAATTTATTATGTATATAATATTTTTTCTGCGTGTATGCCTTAAGGCCAGTAGAGGGCACTAGACCTCATTACAGATGGTTGTGAGCCACCATGTGGTTGCTGGGAATTGAACTCAGGACCTTTGGAAGAGCAGGCAGTGCTCTTAACCACTGAGCCATCTCTCCAGCCCTCAGGCAGGAGTTTATAAAGGCAAAGAACACAAAGTTACATTCCATCTATGTTTAAGCGGAAGGTTATCTTGAGCAAAACAAGCTTCTGTTTAACAGAAGCAGGGGCAGCAGTTGACCTTATGACCTTGCATAAACAACAGTTGTGTTAAAATTGTATCAAGACCAGACTGTTACAAAAAATAACCCTTAAAAGCCTTAACATTGGGAGGTCCGTTGTTGCTTTATAATTCTCTTAAGCACAGTAATTTTAAACTTTTAAACATTAGGTAAACCATCAATAGAACATTAGCCACCACAAGATTACGAGGGAACCTGTTTCCAAAAGCACTACCTGTTCTTTGGGAAGATCAGAGTTCAGTGCTCAGCCCTTGGGCCAGCAGCCTCACAACTGTCTATAAATTTGGCTCAGGGAATCTGATGCCCTCTTCTGCTCTCCCAGAACGAGTAAAAAATATTTTTTGAGAGCTGGGTGTGGTGGCACACAGCTCTAATCCCAGCACCCAGGAGGTAGAGGCAGAAAAATCTCTGTGAGTTTAAGGCCGGCTTGGCCTACAGAGTGAGTTCCAGTTTAAAAGCGGAAAATTACAAAGAGCTCCCAAGTCCCGTGCAGTTGTAATACGGGGAGAAGTGATTGGGGGCTTTCCATGGTGACACACTTTCAGCCTATCAGGGAGTTCTGTGGCTCTGGTGGTTCAGACAGGTTCTGGGCCAACCAATCAGAAGGGGGTGGATTGTGGTTTACACCAGTGGGAGGGGTTTGTGGGGTTGCCGTCTAGCCTTAGGAAATTGTGGGTAGCAATATGGCAGGCTGGAACAAATGGAGTCTCTGCTGCTAACTAGACTCTAATACACCCACTCCAACAGTGGCTCTAGCATGTCTGCCTCTCTCCCATCCCCTCTGCCTGGCCTGAGCCATTAGATCACAAGCCGAAAGATAGCCACCAAAGTCTATTCCCTTATTTGTCCAGTTCCTCCTCCATCAAAGTACTGAAGTTCAGCAATCAAAAGCTCCCTTTGGCCCACCTAATTAACACATGCAGTGAAAACTGAATGCCTCATCCTAACACAGGGTTTCCCAGTTACCTTTATAAACCACCATGTGCCTATGGTCCCGTCTGTGTCCTCTCTATCCAGAGGTAGTCCTCGTCATCCCTCCCTCCCCACCTCAGGTTGAATACCCCCCCCTTCGCCCTCACCCTCTAGTTCCTTACTTTGCCTGATTCCCTGCCTTTTGTCCTGAGAACCTCGTCTTAGTGGTCCTGAGCTGACACCGATTCTTTCAGCAGAGCCCTGTTCTGATCCACTCCATCACTAGAACCACCTCTGGGAGTTTCGGGATCTGTTGGTCAGGGCGGCACACTCTGGGGTAGAACAGTGAACTAATCTGATTCAGGGCGCCTTAGAGTTTCTATTTCTGTGAAGAGACACCATGACCACAGCAACTCTTATAAAGAAAATATTTAATTGGGGTGACTTGTTTACAGTTCAGAGGTTCAGTCCGTTATCATCATGACAGGGAGCATGGCAGCCTGCAGGCAGACGTGGTGCTGGAGCTGAGAGTGACACATCTTGGCCAGAAGGCAGCAGGAAGTTGATTATCGCACTGAGTGACACTTGACATCTCAACCCCGCCCCCACAGTGACACACTTCCTCCACAAGACCACACCCACTCCAGTAAGGCCACACCTCCTAACAGGGCTGCTCCTTTTGGGGGCCATTTTCTTTCAAACCACCACACACGGTATAGTTCCCCAAAGAAACTGGTATCCTGGAATAAAAACAAATGGTTGTAAACTCCTGTTATGGCCTAGACATTGATGAAGGAGTAGTGGACCCAAGAGACAGGCAGCCTTTATTACGCTGCGGCCCAGTTCCATTCTGCACAGGGAACCTTTTCCCACCATTATGACAGGGCTCTAGCCTCCCCTAGACCTCTTCCAAGGCGCCGGGCAGGATTTGGGCCTCACTCTTAAGTGTTCGGGGATGTCAGCAGCCCACTGGTCAGACATACTTCCCAAGAAAGTCAGATGGCAGGGCCTGTGACAGACAGTCAGATGGCAGGGCCTGTGACAGTCAAATGGCAGGGCCTGTGACAGTAAGTAGAGCTGGTGCAATTCTTACGGATTCAGTTCGTCTTCTTCCAAGCTAAAATCTGAGAGACATTCTTCCTCCCTTTGGCCAGGCTGAAGGCAGTTGACCTGTGGGATGAAGGCCCACCAGGGCGGTGGAGAGGACACACTGCAGTTACTCCGGGGTTGATATTCCCTAACCTAACCATGGTTCCTAACTCACCGCTGCTTGGGCTGAGCCAGGATAGAATCTGTGATCACGCCTAAACTTCTGCAGAGGGATTTGGGGGTGGGTAATTCAGCCAGAAAGTTTATATCAGAGTGGAGAGCCTTCCCACTGGCCTGGGAAAACATCTGCATGCCACGCGGACTCACAGGCATGGCTACCATGTTGCAGGGATCCACCTCACAGAGCAACACAGAGAAGATGCTTAGCTGACTTCTCCCAGAGCCGCTTTTATCATCTGTATTATGGTTTGCAAGAAGGGCCTTCCTCTTGGGGCAGGAGAGGTGGCTCAGCAGTTAAGATCACGTGCTGCTCTTCCAGAGGTCCCGAGTGTGGTTTCCAGGACCCACGTGGTGCGGCTCACAACCAACCACTTGTTATTCTGGTTCCAAAGACTTGATGCCTCTGGCTTCCTGGGGCATCTGCACTCATGTGCACATAACCAACCATACCCGTGCCCTGGCACAGCTGGGCACACAGTGGTGATTTTAAAGTGGAAGTTATTCTGATAGTCCCCTCTCTATTGGCGAATCTACAGCAGCAAACTGATTCCAGAGTCCGGCGCTGACTGCTTCCTCGCACAGTCACAGAGGGACGGACTTGTTTTTATTTTTTTATTTTTTGGTTTACTTGCTTTTGAGACAGTGTCTCACTGTGTAGCCCTGGCTGTCCTGGAACTCACTCTGTAGACCCAGGCTGGCCCCAAACTCACAGAAATCTGCCTGCCTCTGCCTCCTGAGTATTGAAATTAAATTCGCCATCACACAGGGCAAAGGCTGGACTTCTTTCTGGGCAGTGGTGGTGCACATCTTTAATCCTAGCACTTGGGAGGCAGAGGCAGGTGGATCTCCGGGAGTTTGAGGCCAACCTGGTCTACGGAGCTAGTTCTAGGACAGCCGGAGCTACACAGTAAAACTCTGTCTCAAAAAAAACAAAAAACAAAAAACAAACAAACAAACAAAAAAGGGCAAATGAACACCACAGCTACTACCCTCACTCTCTCACTTTGCTGCAGACTACCCTAACCTCTCTGCGGTGATGCCACCTTGCTGCTGACCAAGCTTCTGTTTGCCTTGTGTCTCCACTGAATTCCTTCCAGCAAGAAGAGAAGAAGAGAGAGCCACGGAGAAACACTTGCCCAGGAGATCCCTGCTGAAGCTGAACTAAACCATTGCTCTCCATGGAGGAACTTTACTTTCTGAGATGGTGGCCACTCTACCTGTTCAAAGCAAATACCTTCAAAGTCCTGGGGTGCATTAGGTGATCAAAAATCCCCACATGAAGCTGGGTGGTGGTGGTGCAGTCTTTAATCCCAGCACTCAGGAGGCAGAGGCAGGTGGATCTCTGTGAGCTCGAGGCCAGTCTGGTCTACAAAAGTTAGTGCCAAGACAGGCTCCAAAGCTACACAGAAACCCTGTCTCGAAAAAATAAAGACAAAAAAAAATCCCCACATGACATTCTCGAGACAGAACACACGTTGGCCACGACTACTGTAAAGGAATCGTCTATGTAATTGTGACAGCTTTCTTGAGACAACTTGGGCAACCTATTCTCTGATTAAGACATTTATATAACCGACTTATAGGAAGGTCTTCAGCAAAAAGAAACAAGAACAAAAAGATTATAGAAAGGTCCTTTGCTGGAGAGACAGGGAAATGCAGTGGTTTAAATAGAGACGTAATAGAGACGGTTTCCCTGGTGGTACACATCAGAGAGCTGCCCTGTTCCGTGTGTTCTTAGGAGTCATGCAGAAAGTTCTGGAGAAGCCACTGCTCAGGCAGCCTGGCTTCCTGGAGCAGGAACCTCCGCCCATCCTGGGGCCACAGTCATGGTCAAGCTCTTAGTGACCTCAGGTCTCTTCAGACTCCACACAAGGGGGCAGAAGACAGGGCTCGTAGTTCAGGAAAAGCCCCCCAAACTGCCTTACTTCAGTGCACTTCCTGTCTGCACTTCCTTGAGAATGCTGCCCAGTGCAGTTCTGCTGGCTGGGTGGGTCCTGACTACCCCAGAAGGGACACCCAGGGCTCGGTCCCCACGCACCTGGATTAAACTCTGCAGGTCTTCTTCACCTTCGGCATCGATGGACTCTTCACCGGGTCTGTACTCCACCGCGACCTTGCCACTCTCTGAAAGTGAGAGGCTCAATTCAGGGGTGTTCTTGTTCTCAAACTTCCACATCAAACACAGTCGCGCCAATGAGTCTTTACAGTCTCTAGAGGCTGGAGGAGAGCGTGTCTCCAGAGACGCCACATCTCACACTGCAGTTATTAACAGGACTGTCATTTCATTCACTCTAACAGTGTCCCCAGGAGACGGGGAGACCCTCTAGCCTGAGATGAAGGGCAGCTTAGTAACCCTACATGTCTACAGGTCACTCTAGCTATGACACGGGAAGTCAGTACGCAAACCCAGATGTCCAAAACTCATCAACTCTCTTAGTGCCGGGCAAGCAAAGGAGCAGGACCTGCAGCGACGAGGCAAACCCGTGACATCGATACCCAAGGAACAAGAGCGTTTGCTGCCACTTTTCTCCTACACCCGACAAAGAACAAACCCGAGACCACCGCTGTGGGAGTTGCATGAATGAAAGCATAATCCGGAATGTTCCAGATAGCAGCATTTTCATACTATTTATATTTTAAAATGAACTTTCAGCTCGCCGAGATTCAAGCGCTCAGAATAACTGAGAAAGGCTCACCCAGAACAACGATGGCCAGCTTCTGGAAGGCATCTGCCAAAGCGCTCTGGATTGCCAGCTTCTGTGCAGTCTTCCTCTTCATCAGAAACGAGGACTGTCCTGGAGCCAACCACACAGATGGATGTCACAACCCGAACGGGGACTGCCGAGAGGCTGTGTTTGCTATAGAAGCATGAAGACCGGTGTTTGCATATGATGCCCGTGTAACAGCTGGGCCTGACTCTGTGCATGTCTGCAATCCCAGCAGTGAGTGGGGTCGAGACGGGGGTCTGCTATCTTCTAGCTGGACGAAAAGAAAGACAAGCGCCAGGCTCAGGGAGAGCCCTTACCTCGAATGAATAAAGAGGACAGTACACCCAACACCCTCTTCTGGCTTCTGGGCTTACACACACACAGGCCCACACACCTTATGTGCACACACACATTTGCATACACTACACACAAGTGCATCATATACCAAAAATAAAAACATAAGTAAATACTTACATGGATAGCAATTATTCTTTGTTTAAAAAGAAAATTCCTTTATGATTCCGTCTGAGATCACTATTTGGGTAACTAAAGGTACGCACAGCACAAGGAGCTGCCGAATGGCTCTGTTGAGCGCACATAATGACAGGGCTCATTATCTTACATGCCTGGTGTGTTTTGAAGTTCCCCATGTAGTAACTATGGGGTCCAAATGAGGAACAGGTACAAGGCTCCTATCACTGGCCAGTTCCAAATTGACAGGTCTTCCTGCAGACTCTGCTTGCTGTAGCTCAGGGCTGGACTCACACCGAGCAAGGTCAGGTGATGGCGCTGATGACTGGCCCTGTCTATCCAGCAGTCTCAGGAGTCTACTCCACACCCTCCACTAACACTTTATCTCTGACTTGGACCCCTCATGCTGAGAACCATGAATCCTAGGGAAAAAAAAAACCACCTAAACTAGGGGCCGGAGACGTGGCTCAGTGGTTAAAAGCACTGGCTGTTCCTTTCAGAGATCCTGACTTCAATTCCCAGCAATCATATGGTGGCTTATAACCATCCGTAATGAGATCTGGTGCCCTCTTCTGGCTTCCAGGCAGTACACTGTATACATAATAAATAAATCTTAAAAAAAAACCCTTAAAGATGCGTCTGTGTGTGTTTCTCTGTGTCACTTGTACAGGTGCCTGAGGAGAAGAGAGGCATGAGACCCTACTGGCTCTGCAGTGACAGGTGGGTTCAGGTGGGACCTGACGTGGGTCCTTTGCAAGAGCAGTCTGTTCTGACACTCTGAGCCACTTCTGCTGGGACAGCCGAAGGCTGAGATAAAGGACTCTGACCAATTATTCCAACACAAAGCAAGTCCTTAACCAAAAACTACAGGCACGGGAGTTCCCGCCTCCCCTAACCACAGGACAGGAGGGCAGTTCTACTGTGCATGAAAGGGTTTTTGTCAGGCACGCGCTTACGTGAAAATCTATATTATAATCTATATAAAAATTCTGCCTAGGACTTCAGTAGTTTGGCAATGGAAGGGCCTGACTAGTAGCTGACAGAGCGAAGAGATGGAAGAAATGACAGCAGACAGACAGATGGACACACTGCTGCCGCCCTCCCTCTGCTGAGGACAGACCTTCCTCCTCCGGCTGGTGCAGAGGCTCCTCAGCGATGCCGACTCCAGGGCTCTTGCACCCGTAGGGCGGCAGAACCACCTCTACAGCACAGAAGAACTTGAAGCTCCGCCTCTGCATAGGCCCCGTGAGAGCCTCGTCCTCCGGTCCAGGGAGCTCCTGCAGCTGGGAGGGGTTGGATTCGAGTCCTTCTAGAGTTGATTTCATTACCTCTGAGAACCAAACCCAAGGTTTCACCGCTGCTAGGCAAGCTCTCCACCACTCAGCCCCAGCCCCACCTTGCCTAAGATTCCAATGGAAAAACAAAAAAACTAAACCCCAGGTCTCAGCTAACAGCTGGAGCATTCTAGAGATTCCAGAGCAAGTAAGATTTGCAAGGGGTACCACTTTAGGGAGTCAAGTCTCACTGAACACACAGACACTAGGAAACTATGGACCCCATCAGCTAGTGAACTGGGAAGGGTTTTCCTAACTCTCAGACACGTCCACCTAGCCTCACCCTGCTGGCCCCTGACATGTCCTCCCCGAAGTCCAGGATTCTAATGGGGAAGGAGAGCCACTTACCCTGATGATCCTTTTTGACCATCCATTGAAGCCAAAGTAGTAGTTTGCCAGTTCTTGGCACCGTGAGCTGTTTAGAGCGAAGGTCCGGTGCTGCAGTGCTTTATGTCTGGTGCTGAGACGAACCTGCAGTCAGGAGAGACACAGAAATATCACAGCTGGTCAGAGTCTATCTTGGAGATACTTGAGGTCAACCAGTTCCAGCTCCGTAAGTGACAGTGACGATCAGGTGGATGGAAGGATGTCCTAAGTTTTGCATCAGAGTGAGCTCCAAGAGCTGGAGAGATGGCTCAGAGGTTAAGAGCACTGGCTGCGCTTCCAGAGGTCCTGAGTTCAGTTCCCAGCAGCCACATGGTGGCTCATAACCAGCTATAATGAGATCTGGTGCCCTCTTCTGGTGTGTGCGCAGGCATGCAAGCTAAATAAATAAATAAATATTTAAAAAACAAAAACAAAGTGAGCCCCAAACACATGCTATCTGCCCATCTAAGCCTCAGTGCTGTCCTCCGTCATTTTGGGATCCCTGTTAAGTGGCAGGTTGCCCTGGGGGCTGGGGAGCAAGCCCGGTTGGTGGGGTGTTTGCTTGGCATGCAGGAAGTCCGTGGTTCAGGCCTGAGCACCGTTGAACTGGGTGTAGAGTAGAAGAAAATAACCAAGAAGCCCTGCAGAAAGAGTCAGGTTGTGAGGTAGCAAGGATATTGTTTCGGGTTTCCAATCTGGTAGCTCCTGCTTGAGATCATGCCCCAAGAACATGGAGATGAGATGAACCTTATAGCTACCCAGCTCCAAGTCAACAACCCCTGTTACAAGCTGGGCACCTATAGACAGGGTTGAGCATACACAACCCCTGTTACAAGCTGGGCACCTATAGACAGGGTTGAGCACCGTGGTATGCTTTTTGTTTTTTCTTTCTTTTTCAAGACAGTGTTTCTCTTTGTAGTCCTAGACTTATTCTGTAGAACTCAGAAATTTCCCCCCGCCTCTGGCTCCTGAGGACTGGGATTCACGGTGTGTGCCACCAGGTCCAGTGGTGCACATTTTTAATCTCAGCACTCAAGAGGCAGAGGCTAGCAGAGCTCTTTGAGTTCCAGGCCAGCCTGGTCTACATAGAGAATTCCAGGCTAGCCAAAGCTACATAGTGAGACCTTGTCTAAAGTAAATCATAACATATATGCACACACACACACACTGTACATGTTACTGTGCATTCCTTACACCACTAACTTCTTAGAAGTCTCCATTACTAGAAAGTTCTATGGATTCATAAAACCCGAATCATACAAAGAAAGTCAATGCATTAACTATTCATGGCTTCTGTTTATGTGTCTTCTCCCTCTGTCACCCCTTGGAGCTCGAGATGGCCACTGGTTACGAGTGTGTACTGCTCTTGGAGAGGACTTATGTTCAGTTCTTGGCATTCAAGTCACACGGCTGACAACCACCTATAACTCCAGTTCCAGGGGATCGGACACCTTCTTCTCCCTGGGTACCAGCATGCACATACCCACACACGGACACATACATATACACGTAACTTTAACACCTAAAGTTCCTTTGCAAAAAAAAGGGAAGGGAAGGGAAGGGAAGGGAAGAAGAAGATGGTTGTGAGCCACCATGTGGTTGCTGGGAATTGAACTCAGGACCTTTGGAAGAGCAAGCAGGGCTCTTAACCACTGAGCCATCTCTCCAGTCCCTCCTTGAATTGTTTTTATAACATAATATTGAATGTTTCTTTTGTTTGTGTGTGTTTTTCCTGCACGTGCACCTGTGAATCACATGCATGCCTGGTGCTTAGGCTGAAAAGGAACGTGGAATCTCTAGGAACTGTAGTTACTGGAAGTGATAACGAGCCATCATGTGGGTGCTGAGAATCAAACTTGGGACCTCCGGAAGAGCAGGCAGTGTTCTTAGCGACTGAGCCATCTCTCCAGCTCCAGTATCTTAACTGTGATTTCCTTCACCACTCTATCAAAACCTAAAGCTTATGAAATGGTCTCATTGTCCCAAGAGCACTGGAAACTCATGCTTTGTAATCTTCCCAGTACCACATACAATATCTACCTGACTGAGACACGATCACAGGCTAAAAACATACAAAGTCCAATAATTAAAGGATGACAGGCACTCGGAAGTGGATGATGTAGAAGGTCTTGAACAGTGTACAGAAGTAGAGATAGTGCGCTTGGAGTCACTACTGACTAGAATTCTCAATCAAGGGTCAGTGGAGGGGGAAAGCAATAGGGACAAGAGTAGACCATGGTCAGCAGCAAGGCAGATCAAGTAGCCAGTCAGAAACTGAAATGGACAGGTAGTGGAAATGAGATGTTGTCCTGCGGCTCTGGGCAAGTTACATGGTTTGCTGTTAACATGGAATGGAGATTAATAAGGATGCTTCTAGGACCTAAGGGAGTTCTGGACAGGCTGTTTGAGAATGAAGACAATCAGCATCCGTCATGTTACAGCTATCCGTTTATCAAACTCACATTTTAAATCCAAATAAAATAGAAAACGCTTATGGATATGTCTTAAATTTTAAGGCAACATAATGGCGTGGTATTTTCATCGTTACACTTGGGTTTGATCAGTTACTATCATGATGAACCTTGGATTACCAGCCATCCCGAGTTTGAGTTTCTTCATCTAGGAATGCCTGGAGGCTCAGTGAAAACGCACCTGGAAGCGCCCTGTAAACCAGAGAGCCGCACAAACGCTAGCTCACTGTGGTTCTGGGAACTTCATTCCAAATCCTGCATTTGCACCCACCTTCACGGGCGAAGTCTGAAAAAGAGGCTTCCCGTCACATGCCTTTTGGGCTTTCTGCGCGTCCCTCGATGAGTAAAACTTGATGATGGCATAGAAACCAGGGCGAGCCACTGCAGCGTTCGGGAAGACTCGGACTGAATACAGAAGGCCAAACTGGGAGAACACCGCGGCCAGAGAATGCTGTGGGAGGCCCACGACGTGAGTGCTCATTCCCAGCCACCGAGAAAACCCAGCTCCCACGAGTCCCCGTCCTCTCCACGCGGAGCACTTGTCCCTGCAGGAACAGGGGCTTCCTCCGAGGTGACAAGCGCGGGTGGCTAAGGGCGCCCGCTTGACTCACCAACAACCGGTTCCCCCTCCGCGCGGGCCCCCGCCTCCGGTTCCCTTCTCCCTTCCCTCCACGCGGCCACTCACACTTAATGCCTCAGCTGGGGGACCGGCGCTCAGCTCCCACACCAACAAAACTTTATCACTCTGGGTGGGAACCGCGAAAGAAATCAACTCCGCCATAGTAAAGCCACTGCGCCTGCGCAAGGAACTACCGCGAACTTCGAATTAGGAGTCGCACAGAAGGGGTGGCGCTAGATGAGAACGGGGAGGAGCCCAGTCTCCAGGGCCTCCCTAAAATTTAACAGAGCAGGTATTTCAGTGTCACTCTACACATATTCGGACACACCCTACTGGGTCTAGGTGACATCTTTTGTTTTGATTTTCGAGACAAGATTTCTCTTGTGGCTTTGGTGCCTGTCCTGGAACTAGCTCTTGTAGCCAGGCTGGCCTCGAACTCAGAGATCCGCCGGCCTGTCTCTGCCTCCTGAGTGCTGGGATTAAAGGCGCGCGCCAACACAGCCCGGCACTAGGTGACATCTTTAAATAAACAACGTTAAAACTCGTTCTCATAACACAATAATCGTTGTGTATCCAGGCACCAAGCTTATCAAGACAAACATCAATCCCGTTTAGCTATAACCACTAAAACCAATGAGTCTGCACTAATTTATCTCCGTGGAAACAAATCTCTAACAAAAATTAGTAACTAGTCTTGCCTTCTATCTAGCTAACTTAAAGACTTTAAACAGACTCTCTGTAATAAACTGAAATACACGCCAAAGCACACACAGTACATTTAGGGAACAGTAAAAACTAAAACTGAAAAAACACTTTGGTGGCAGTAGCTTAGCTGTACTACAACTATGAGTCTTACAATTCTTATTTTAAACCGTTTGATGTCCCCGAGGGGGTGCACCGTTCCTGGAGGTACTGCAATACCAGGTCGATGCGTGGAGTGGACGGAGCAAGCTCCTATTCCAACTCCTAGTTCCAAAAATCCATTTAATATATTGTCCTCGGATAGAGGACGTATCAGATATTAAACTGATAAGAACAGATACTACACTTGATCTTAGCCAAAAGGCCGAGAAGCGATAACTCGACACCCACACGCGCCCGCTACACTCACCTGCGCGCACACATTCACATCGCGGTCGCCCACGCTCACGCCGCCGCGGACACGCGCCCGACACCGACTCTACCTGCACTATCCTGACCACCGCCTCGTCTCCGGGGAAACCCTGTGAGATCAGCGTGGGCCGAGGAGTTATCGATGCTCTTTTCGCTCCCAGAGTTCCTGGGAGCCGCGGCCACGTCTTCATTTGCATGCCCCGCCCAGTACGCATTCTGTCTCTGCGCTGCGGAGGGCCCCGTGAACACTGGTCTTCCTCGGCTGTTCTGTCAGGTTCTTCGCAATCTTTCAGACACAGAATTGACAGTAGCCACCACAAGAAGTACTCTCACTCTTTCTCCCTTCCCTTTCCTGTTCCCCTCACTTTATATATATGGTTCAGAGTATTTTGTTGTCACGTGGCAAGATCAACAATGGGTTTGGGTAGGACTTCGATGGTGAGTATAACCCTCGGGTAATGCACACTTTGACCAACTCAAGGGATAGAAGGATTCTTGAGTAAAAGAGCCTTTCGATTTCCAGCATACACATGTATGTATATATGTAAACCTTCAGTTCCAGGGGAGCTAACCGGCACACACACATGCAGGAAAAACATTAATACACATTAATATATAAATCTAAAATATACTAAATATAAAATATAAATAGAAAGACCCGGATAAATCCAGGCCCCTCTAGCAGGGATCTTGACCTTCCCTGGGGTGGGGTCAACCAATTGGCGGGCTTTCTCGGAGGTGGAGTTTGGACTGAGGCAACCCCCAGGGAAGGGAGCTTTGAAATGAAGCTTTCCGCCTAACATTCCAAAAACGGAGGCCAGTGGGCTGGAGTGAAGCCCCCTAACTAAACAATCCCAGACTCTTTGTATAAAAGGGTGCCAGGGAGCTGAGGTGATGCTTTTAACCAAACAACACTAAGGAACTCTGTCTCAAAACAAACAAACAAACAAAAAAGAGTTCTGGCCCAAGCTACTGAAGGACACAGTCCCATGCTGAGTTCGAGAAACAAATTTGCGGAGAGGTGTGTGCCCTGTTCTGAGATCAGTTTGGGAGTGGCAAGCTGGGAATAGGTGTCCGACAGCCACGGTCAAATGACAGCTAAATAGTAGCAGGCAATATGCTGGGATGAGACCTGCCTGCAGATTTTTTTGTGTCCCCACAGTGCCCAAATAAATGACAGAGATGTCCTATGAATTGAAAAAGCTCGACCAATGTCGCGCCCGCCTCACCAGCAAGGAAGAACGCAACGCCGGAACTCTTCTCACAAGCAGTTTTATTCAGGACCTTTTTCACAGTTCTCTCTTTTCCTTCTCTTCCCCGGGCAAGCTTCTCCCAGCCCTGATATAGCCAAGGGCTGCCAATCCAGGTTCGCTACGTAGGCACTGCCCATAGGCCCACGCTAATACAAGCAGCTTACGATGATCGTAGCATGAGCAGGGTCGAAGCCAAAAAAGGAGTTGTTTGTGTCCGAGAGCATCCGCTTTCGGGATCGCGGAAGCCGGATGCCAGCGCCATTTTCTAGGTGCGGCTCCTGTATACTCCATATGGCTCTCCACAGACCAATAGCTTAGGCTAGTTTCTAACTAGTTCTTATAACTTCAATTGCCCATTTCTATTAATTTACTTTCTGTCTCATGATTTTGTTACCTCGTCTCCACGTGGCCCAGCCTGCTTGCTTTGCGTTGCGTGGCGTCTCCGACTTCTTCTTCCCAGTGTTCTCTCTGTCCTGAAAATCCTGCCTACCTATTGGTCAGTTAGCTTTTTATTAAACCAATCACAATGACGTATTTTCACACAGTGGAGTGAAAATATTGTTAGTGGCATTAGAGATTGAAGCCAAGGTTTTGAGCATTCTAGGCAAGTGCTCTACCATGGAGCTATGCCTTCGGCCTTTCTTAATACTTTTAAACAGGGCCTGGCTAAGTTGTCTAGGACTTGAATTTGTGATTTTCCTGCCTCAGCTTCCAAAGTACCTGGAATTACACCCATAGGCCACTGTGCCCTGCTGGGAGTTTTTTTTTACAACATGTTAACAACTTGTAGCCAGAGACCACCAGAAATGTACCAATAGTGAAGCAAATTCGGCTTTTCCTTGGGGCACCTTGGTGAGATTGTGTTAAGAACGGCTTGGCATGTGGTCTTGTGACAGATGCTTTGAGGACAGTAAGTAAGGCTTTCCTTTGAACAGGGTGTTTTTAAGAAGTGAGGTCGAACTGCATGGTAGTGGCACATACCTTTAATCCCAGCACTCAGGAGGCAGAGGCAGGCGGATCTCTGTGAGTTCGAGTCCAGCCTGGTCTACAGAGCAAGTTCCAGAACAAGCTCCAAAGCTTCAGAGAAACCTTGTCTCAACAACAGAACAGAACAAAAACAAAACAAAACAAAAAAGAAGTGGGGGCTGTGCGTTCTTGGAAGTGTCTGAACAGGTGACATAGGGATCTCCTCCCACAGAAGAGGGGAGAGGAGAGCAAGGCCAAGGTCGCAGTCATTAAAATGGGAACCCTCACAGGTGAATGCCAAAGTAGCTTCCAGGGCTACTTCCACCATTTCCAAATGCAAGACACATGTTGAGAGCTTTTCCCGGGTCTCAGGAGAGTAATTCCGCCCCCCCCCCCCACCCCCAGGACAGGCTCTCACTATGTAGTCCTGACTGGCTTAGAACTTGCTATGTAGACCAGGCTGGCCTGGAATGAACAGAGATCCACTCTGTTTTCAATAGAAATGCTTTTTTTTTCTTTTTTTAAGTATACAGTGGTCTACCTGCATGCATGCCTGCAGGCCAGAAGAGGGCACCAGATCTCATTACAGGTGGTTGTGAACCATGGTTGCTGGGAATTGAACTCAGGACCTCTTAACTTCTGAGTCATCTCTCCAGCCCTCAATAGGAATTCTTTTGACCATATGAAAACCATGTAAATAAGGAAATGGGAGAGTAAAAGGCTCCCTTAATAGTATGTGAAACAAAGCAGGGCACTGTCTACCAGCCTGGTCTACATAGCAAGTTCCAGGACAGCAAGGACCACATAAAACCTGTCTCAAAAACAAAGCAAAACAGAAGGATGTGAAACAGTCACCATGGCACCCTTCAGCTGTGTCACCCAAAAACGAAGTCATCTTTCTAGATGGTGAACAGAAAGACAAAAGACCATCTTACTCTGATTATTGTTTTTGTCCAACACAAAAAATACAAAAGACAAGGTAGTGGGCATCTTTAATCCCAGCACTCAGGAGGCTGTGGCAGGCAGATCTCTCTGAACCAAGTTCCAGGCTGACCAGGCTACATAATGAGACCTTGTCTCAAAAACCAAAGCCAGTTGTTTGTGCTACTCACACTTCTGCAAGCATCGTGAACATTCCTGTGACCTGCCTCGACTCTCTGCAAGAAATGCGGCAAGCATCAGCCCAGCAAAGTGACACCAAATACAAAGGGCAGAGATTCTCTGTGTGCAGGGATAGCGGTGTCATGGCGGGAGGGAGAGTCTGCGGTGGGCAGACTCCTCCTGTTTGGAACAGAAAGGCTGAGAGACAAGAGGGAAAGAGGGCTGTGCTGAGGCGGGAGCGTTCCAGCTCAGGTGCAGATCTCACGGTGCTGGCTGGTTGGAGATGCATTTGGACCTAGGAGGCTGGACAAAGAGAAGGGGGCCAAGCGATCCAGCTCTAAATTGGCTTTGCTACAGTGAAACCATGAGTCGTCACTCGAAGAGCAAACAGAGACAGAAATTTCAGGCTGTGCATAGTGTTCAGGCCTGTAATCCTAGCACTCAGGAGAGGAGGATTAGCTAGAATTCAAGGCCAGCGCAGAGAGAGAAGCAGCCAACAGAATTAAAGAGTAAGGCTCTGCCTTTAAAAAAAAAATCAATCATAAATTTTGTTTCTGATTTGAGATGGAGTCTTAATCCCAGGTGCTGGGATTACTGGCCTGCTCCACCATGCTTGGCAGAATTAAAAATATTTCAGTTATGGGGATTGAGAGATGGGTCAGCAGTTCTGTAGCTGGGTGGTGGTGGCGCACGCCTCCCAGCACTCAGGAGGCAGAGACAAATGAATCTCTGTGAGTTCGAAGCCAGCCTAGTCTACAAGAACTACTTTTTTAAAAAAAAAGATTTATTTGTAGGGCTAGAGAGATGGTTCAGAGGTTAA